CCACACCTGCCTTCTAGCAGCATCCCCAGAGTACGAGGGCCAGGGAACCCCCATTCGTGCCAGCAAAGGTGTCCAGCACCAGAGGAGGGACGATGGGAACTGGCTCTTGCAGTTGGAGGCTTCTGAGTTCCTGACTCCTTGAGAAGCAGGGATGCCAGGTGCGCAGGTGGAACCCGGAACCCTGGAGGATGCGGTGCCCCAGGCCCTGGCTGCTTAGCTCCACCTGTTTCCAGCCCTGCAGCTGCTCACCGTTCCCAGGACAGCACACGGCAGGGGCTGCTGCATTTACACCCATGACATGCCGGCTCCTGGGCCCCAGTGCAGCCCCACCAGGCAGGGAGGGGCAGGAGTGCCCTGGGATGGCCCTCGCAAAGCCTCACAGACCCTCACTGTCAACCCATCCTGGAGGCCGAAGCCCGAGGTGCAGGCAGGTGGGGTCCTCCTGAGGCCTCTGTGTGTGTGGATGGCCATGCTCTCCCTGGGTCCTCACAGAGTCTTCTCTCTTCATATGTCTGTGTCCTGACCCACTCTTCTCGTTGAGGACCCCAGTGACCTCATGTTCCCTTTATCACCTCTTTGGAGGTCCTGCCTCTACGTGCAGCCACATTGGTAGGTCCCAGGCATCAGGGGTTTGACACAACTGTCTTAACCCAAGCAAAGGGCACCTGTGTGATCGTGAGTGTACACTCCACCCTTTGCACCATACACAACAGCCCATCTTGCCATCCCCAATGGCCAGGCCCTGACACCTCAGTCCCCCCATCCCTCCTCGTCACAGGCAGGTCACCCTGTGGGCACTGAGCAGCCCAAGACACCACATGTCTGTCTTCTCTGGGACGGCTCCCCACCCCTCGCCCAGCCCCATGACACCCTGCAGCGTGGTAAGGTCCCAGGGTGGAGGCTGCAAGCGCAAAGGAGTCCCTCTATCCCTCTAGCACCTTGGCACTCCACAGGCGCAGGCAAAGTCCACAGGCACTGAGCCCCCAGGACCTGAATCAGGTCCAGGCATAGGCGAATGTTCCCTCCTATCTGAGCAACCCTACAGGAAGGCACGAGCAGCCTGCCAAGCCTGCCACAGAGGAGGGGATGCACACTCAGAGAGCCAGGCAATGTGGTGAGGCTGCCCAGCCACGGACAGTGCTCAGACACGAAACTTCATCCCCCGTCCAAGCTCTCAGCACTGCCTGGCCACCCCACATCCCGCACCACGTGGCCTCCTGGCCCCAGGCCCCGCTGTGTGGTCAGAGCTCCAAAGTCTTCCACCCCTGAACTGTCCCCTGTCCTCCCACTGTCCCTGTGGCCTCAAGGCTTTTCCACTCCCAGGCTGATGACCCTGACATAAGGGATGCCTGCGACATGCCCCCCACACACACACACAGCTAAGCCAGGCCATGCCCAGGAAGGCGACAGGGAGAGAAGCATCAAAAGACTTCACCAGAAATTGGGGCTGAGGGACAGGTGGAGGGGCCCAAAGGGGAGAGACGAGACATCATCTCCCCCCAACCCTGCCCACCACACAGCCCAAGAAACCACTAGGCTGACTTCCAGCGTGTCAATGATTAACACCTGCTCGTTGGGAGGTGCTGCCAGAGGCACCTTGGGAACCCAGGAAGGGCAGGGTGGCAGAGGGTGGCGACGGGAGCACCCAGCTAAGTTTAGGAGCCAGGGCCCTCCCCACTCTCCTGAGGCCCTCCCTCAAACCTCTCAGCTGCACCTGATCTCCAAACATCAGGGCTCAGGTACGGATGCTGCCCGTTGGGGGAGCTCTGCACCTGCCCCACAGGGGCTCATGGGAGCTGGGAGAGCTGGGTGCCCAGGCCAAGCAGCCACAGTGGTGGGAGGGGTGGCAGGAGGCAGGATGAGGAGCAGCTGGGACAAGAGTCTGCCCGTGTCATCCTACTGTTCCCAAGAGGTTGAGGTGGGATGAGGCATGGAGGGGAGCCTGGAGAGAAGGTGGGTGAAGAGGGAGGAAGAGGGGAGGCTGGGTTCCTCATGGCTCCTCTCACCAGTCAGGGGAAGGACAGGGACCCCTGAGGGTCTACGAGGGAGGAGGGGGCCCAGCCCAGGGGCCAGAGGTTGCTATGACAACCCTGCTCCCTCCTCCATCTGGGCATCTCCCCTACCTGCCTGGCTCCACTGAGGCCCACTAGCAAGGAGACCAGGACCCCCAGGCCCTCAGCTAGATGGGAAGCCGCCCCACGATGAAGGTGAGGACACCAAGGATCTGGGAACTCTGGGGGGGGCGGGGCGCTGGGCGAGGGCAGGAAGCCCCAGCAAGCGGGAGGCAGAGTCCTGCTCCCTGACCCCAGCAGCCGGGGCAGGCCAGGCGCACACAGGAAAGGCTGCTCTCCTGGCGGCCGGCCGGAGTAGGGGTTCCCCGAAGAGGAGAGGGACAGGATATCCTGGCCTGCTTCCCCAGCTGCGCCTGGGAGAGTGTGCCCAGCCTTGCAGGGCCCACGAGGACGGTGGCTCCCACGTCTACCCACCTGGCCAGGCACTTCAAGGCCAGGGAAGCAAGCCTGACCAGCCTCAGCAACAGTCCTGCCCCTTCCACGGTGTGGCTCTGCAAAGACGGGGCTTTCTCTCACCCTACCTCGGACGCCTCTGAGAACCACGCCAGGGCCACGGTGGCTGCTGTCCACCCCTCTCATGGGGCTGCAGCCTGGCCCCGACCACTCAGCCACAGGTCACTGTCACAGTCTCAGCTAGAAGGCCAGGTCCCCTCAAAGTCTGGCCAATCGAGAGAGTGTCCAGGGCCTACTATCCTCCTGGAGACATTAGGGGCAGGAGGCACCTTCCCAGGCCCCAGCTAAGCCACAAGCCCTCCTGTCCAGGGTTGCCCCTCAGCCCCAGCCCGCATCGGGAGAGCCGCAGTGGGTGTCTACCACCCAGGGCCGCGGCACACCTCTCACACGGCAGGGCCCAGAGCAGGAAATGACTGAGCCAAGGGCACACAGTCACTCCAGGAGCATCCCTTCCTGGCTCGCCCCCGCGGGGAAGACGCTCAGCCACTATCCTCAGAAGCCACCCCAAGCCACCCCTGCCCACCGGCTCCTGCGAAGGCCAGGCGAAGGCGACTCTGCTGAGCAAACTTCCGAGAGCTAAACAATCAGAATCAGGAAGAAAACACAAGTGTAAGCAGAGACTTCCTCTGGGGCGCGGCGAGTCCTCTTCCTCCACACGGCACCGCCACCGCCAGGGAGCCCGGGTGACACGCACCCACGGGCCTGTACCCCCAGGATTGAAGCCTGTGGGGCTTCTGGAGGCCCCCAGCCCTGGCAGCAACCCAAGGGTGGGGCACTGCAACACCACCTGGAGGCCCTCTGGGCTTGCCTCCCTGCCTTCCCCCTGGAGCCGGCGTGCAGGGCTCCAGGACGGAGAGGCGCAGGCAGGGTCTCCTCCAGGGCCTAGCACAGAGTCCATCCCACCCTGGGTGTCTCAGGCCAGGGCTAGGAGGCAAGCAGCCCGTGTGCACAGGGGCACCCACAAGCCTGACCCTGGCAGGTCAGCGACACAACCAGGGTCTGGTGCAGGGGACCCCTTGGGGTCAGTGCACCCACATCTCCCTAAGCCCTGAGACAAGCCTCTGCTGCAGCTGTGAGCAGAGCCCCCACCCCCACCCCAGATCAGCCATGTCATGGTCATGCACCCTCTGAATTGTGGAACCTGGGGGCCAGGGTGGGTTAGAGGTGAAGACTAGGGCCCTCTCTGCCTCTGGGGACACAGTCCTAAAGACCTGTCCCTGTGCCCTGCACAGAGGGCAGTGACCCTGCTACCACCTCTGCTCAGAGGAGCCAAAGTGTGAGGCTGAGTCTGCCCCACCCCGGCCTGCTTCACCTTCCCAAGACAATGCTCCCAGCCAGCCAGGGCCTGGCTCCCGTTGCATCCCTGGGGACCCGGTGGCAGTGCCGGCAGGAGAAGAAAGGGTTCTGACTGCGCCCCCCAACCGGGTCTCTCCCAGCCTCCAGCCAGCAGGGACGAGCACCTGTCACTACCAAAGGGAAAGAAAGCAGAGGGAGCCCCCCAGCCCCACCATCAGTGTGGGGACGGCCACGCCAGGGCTCACGGGCCAAGGGCTGGCAGCGTACCAAGAGGATTCGGGCTGGGCAGCCAGGAAGTGGAGCCGAGGAACGGCAGGGGAGGGCTCCAGGGCAGGCAGCGGGGAAGGTGGCCCTGAGGAGGTAACTTCCTTGTACCCCCACCCCTGAGGAATGGAGCACCCTGCCCCCCGCAGGCATGCCCCAGCGGGCATCAGAGCCACCTGGGTGAGAGCAGGTCAGGTGCTGCCGAGGGTCCTGCTGTCTCCTGGCCCACAGCTGCCTCCAAAGAAGGGTTAGAAATGTGGATCCAGCCCCACCCCTCCCAGGAGCGCCTCCAGGGTCCTCTGCATCAGGAGCTCGGGTCCCTGAAGGGGGTGGGGCCTTCCCCACAGCCACACTGACACACACACACACACACACACACACACACACACCCGGCACAGGACACTCCCCACACATGGCCTGCCTTGAGCTGGGACCCTCCCCTCCTGGGGGCTCCTGAGTCCCAGATGCCTCACGACCCTGAGGAGTTCTGTCTGCTGCACCCAAGGGCAAGCTCCCCTGGTGCACGTCCTTCCCCAGAAGGATTAACACCTGGACCGCCCTTCCAAGGAGGCGTGCAGCCAACTTCTGGGTTGGGGCAGCCTCCCCCTGCCCTGCCCCGCCCCGCCACATGCCTGGGCAGAGCCAGCGGGGAGCTCCTCCCGCCAGCCACCCCAGGGTCGGACACCCCCCCCTCCAGGGTCAGACCCACACCCGCCCTGAACTTCAAGGGACAGGCTCCTCAGAGTGGCTGTTGGCCCCATTAACCTCTTCTTCCCTCCCCGCCTCTCTGAGTGGCAGCTGGCACGGTCCCCGCGGCAGCAGGTGGCACGAGACAGGGTCCGTCCCCGCGCCGCACCCCCCACCCCAGCCCGCGGGAAGCCCCCGGTGCCCCGCCCGCGCCGGGGCCAGACTCACACTGCGAAGTGGTAGACGAAGCACTTCCAGCCGGTGGGACGCTCGAGGAAGTTGTAGACGCGGCCCTGGATGTGGGTGCGCGCGAGGAGCGGGCGGCGCGCGCTGTAGATGGAGACGCGCGGGTCCAGGCTCACGGGCGGCCGCGCAGCAAGGTCGGCGGCGCTCGGGGGCGCGGCGGGGGACGGGGGGGGCGCGGACCCCGGGGCGCCGGGCGGCGCGATGGGTGCGTAGAGCGCTCCGCCCGCCGGGCCGCCCTCCGCCAGCTCCAGCGAGAAGGGACACTTCTTGGCCAGGCCCGCGCTGCCCCGCCGGGAGCCCGGCAGGCGGCCGCAGCCCCAGCGCTTCTTGTCGGGCCTGGGCGGGGAGGAGGCCGCGGCCATGGCCAGGCTGGGCCCGCGGGGGGCCGGCGGCGGCGGCACCGGGAGCTGTGGCGAGAGCAGGCGCCGGGGGCGCAGTGCGGGCGGCCGGCGCTGCCAGCCGGGGCGTGGGGGCGGGGCCGGAGGGGGTGGTGGCCGCGGGCCGGTCCCCGGGGATGGCGCGCCCCGCCCCTGGCCAGACGCCCCGCCCGGACCAACCGGCGCTCCGGGCGCCCTAGCCCGCGGGCCTGCGCCCACCTGCTGCTCCCGCCCTTTCGCCTCTGCTTGCTCCCCCCCGCCCCGCCCCGCGCCTTCCGCGCCTCTGCTCTGCCGGGTGTGCGCCCACGTGCGCGCCCCGCCCCCCCACGCCCACCTGCTACTCAGGAGCCCCCAGCTGAGCCAAGGAGGAAGGCCAGGGGCACAGGTGCAGCTGCTGCAAACCACCCTGCCCCGGGCAGGAGAGCAGGGTAGGGCACCGTAACCCACTTCACCGGAGAGAGGCTGGGGATAATGGGGAGAAGGCAGCACCCTAGGGCACCCACAGACTGACCCTCTTGACACCAGGAGGGCAGCGTGTTAGCTCCTCCTCCAGCGTGTTGGAGGAGTGGGGGTTGCCCGCCCACTGTGGGTGGAGAAAAATGCGGTTTGGTCAGTGCCCACTAGGGGCCATCCGCCCCGGGGGGCAAACCTGGGCCATTGTTGGTCAGGGACAGCCATAGGAGCCCTGCTCGTGGGCGATGTGGGGCCTACTGGAGGTGGCCGGTCGGGGGTGTCGGCAGGGTTTGATTGCTGGGCAGGTCATGGCAAGGTGTTTTTGAGGTCCTGGGGACATGCAGAATGGATGTCTTGTCCTCCTCGAGCTCTGCCCTGGGCTTGACGCTGCACCCCAGGGATTTCCCTGGATGCCAGGGGCAGGGAGTATAGAGGTGGGATGGGATCAGGTTTGCGAGGTCTTGCACACTGCCTCTGGTCATTTACTGGGCTGGCATTTGGTTCCCTGCATGCTGGGGTGCAGGAGTTGGGGGTGCTGAATAAACAGCCTCTTTCGGGACATTGACCGGGGCAGAGGGATAACCGCCCGGCCATCATTCGAGGGACAGGTCACTTACCAGACACTTCCCAGGTCTTCACTGAGCACCCCAGGCTGATTTATTTCATGTACCCCTCAACCATGAGAAAACCAGCTTCCATTGGATAGAGTGAAATTCTGGCCCTTCACTCCCCACACCTGGGATGGTGCCCACACACAGCCACCTGTTGGTATTTGCAGAAAAAGGAACGCAGTGGGTCCCAGACTGCTCCAGGGAACTGGGGAGACTCCAGGGCCCCTGAGGCCAGGGAACCTTTCTGGGAAGCACAGCAGTGCGGCTACAAATCCACAAATCCACAAACCGGCAGGCAGCCAGCAAGAGTCTGCGTCCACAGGGCCCCAGGGGACAGGCGGGGCCCACCGCTGGCATTCACTCAATACTTTCTGAATGAATGCACCTGGAACGAGCCCAGTCTGCACATCCACATCCCAACCCGAAGGGGGAAGATGATCTGTTAGTGGGTGGTGTTGGGACAATCGGAGAGCTGTGGAGGAAGGAAAGAAAAGAGAACAAAAAGTGTGGGTCCACCTCACATGCACACACAGGAATGGGTTTGGAAGGCTTAGATGTAAAAGTCCAGGTGGGGTCACATGGATTCTGTAAGACAGTCTTGGGGAATTCCGCAACCACCTGAAGGCCGGGAGGGAACTTGCATCCTACTGCGCTTGAAATCAAGACAATAGCTGAAATTAGCAAAGTCAAAAAGACCAATGGGCCCCCGGAAAGAGTCTTTACAACTTACCTGGCAGGTAAAGGATTAACAGCACCGGCTTGTTCAAGACATTGAAAATCAGATAGGCAATGGCAGGCGGCCTAGGACGCGAGAGTTCACAGCTTAGGGGAGCTTGTGATCTTTGCACTTATGAAAAAGTGAGCGACGTCACTGCTAACGCGAAAAATGCAAATTAAAAGTACAGGCCGATACCATTGCCCCCCTATCTGATTGGAGGGCATCCAGACATTTGACGGCCACGGCCACACATCCCGCAGGTCCCGCAGGCGAGGCCCCTGGGGAGGGGGGTGGGGACGGTGCTTCGGCATTGCCAGCGGCAGGGTCCCCGGGTGCACTTAGCAAATGGCCCAGTAGACCCTTCGGGTTAGTTCCACTTCCAGGAACGACCCAAAGACCTGGGGGAAAAAAGGAAGTGACACATGCTGTGCTCCTCTCCTCAGAAAACACCACAGACAACAAGAATATCCCTCTGGGAGCTGCCCCGTGCTCAGGCACAGCCACACAAGGTCGCCTGCAGTCAGCATCTTCGCCGGCGTTCCTAGGACCAAGGATCCCAAGGAACCGCCAGTGTTCCTAGGACCAAGGATCCCAAGGAACCGCGTTGTCACTAACAACCTCCGTGTTGTTACTCTGGGATTGCGTACATGATGTTAGACCCCTTAGGAGCGAAGATTTTGAGCATGAGAGACATGGAAGGATGAAACCAGGGAAGTACGGAGCAATCCTTAAATTTGAATCAGGAACTCGGGAGTAAAGCACTGGGCTCTTTTATCTGAAAACAAAATTACTCTCCGTCCACCAGAAAGTTTCAGGAAGGGCCCACCCACAGAAGGACGACCAGAGCAGGGGAAAGAACCATGCAGTAAAAGACATCCCATATCTTAAAAAAACCATTCATTCATGACGATGCCACAGAGAATCCTCTTGACCTTTTGCTGGTTGCTAGGGCTCATTATTCTGAAAGTGGGTCTGGAAGGGCCGGTGGCCTGGCTCCTGCCCGCCCCGTTGGCACTGGTCTTCAGGGGGAAGCAGCACAGGTGCTGGAGGTGTGCACTGCACTACTTCCTCCTGCTGTTGTGGGTTGTGTGATGTCGGGAATCGCTTTGAAGCAGTCAGCCGGGTGGGGTGGGGAGTCCGGGCAGAGATTAGACCCAACTGCCTCTGAATTGGCCATTGTTGAGCTGGCCTCTGACTGAGGTCACAACATGACCAACTTTACTTTTTTATATGTCTCCTTATTTTTAAAATTTTAACAGGTCACCACTCAAGCACCTGGGGAGGCTTTTCAGAGGCCGAGGTGGGGGGAGAAAGTGAGGGGCACTCAGGGAGTCCTGAGCCACACAGGTTTCCACTCTGGGGGCCCTGGGCTGTGGCAGGGGGACTCTGGGGTGCATAGGAAGCTGGTCGGGGTCCAGGGGCGGGGGGTGCTGCTGAGAGCTCCCTGCAAGCTCTGAGGAGCTGGTGGCTGCCTGAGGGAAGGACCCAGGACCTGGGCTGGTGGGTGGGAGCTGGGGCAGTGGGGCGGAGCTGGGCGTGCAGGCATAGCGAATGGGGCTGGGACGCACTGGGCTCAGGTAAGGAAAGACCCAGAGTCAGGGTGAGGCCAGGGCCAGCCCTCCGGAGCAGGAAGTACCAGCTTACCAGGCCCCCTCTGGAATGCCCCTCCCGCCCACGCCCACAGCCCCCTCCCCAGGCTGAGGCCCACACTCAGCTTCCCTCTGTGGCCTCCGCATCCTGCAACCCACCCCACATTCCTTCCCTGGGGCCGGAGGGCTGTCAACATTTGGGTAAACTGAGGCTGGTCACAGGGTATGGGGCTGCCACGAGGTCTATGGGCCAGGGGTGTGGCACCAGAGGCTCCTGCCTGGCTACCTTCTTTGGCAGGACTTCTGATTCGGCACCCCCACACTCCCCCGTCCTCGCTGAGCACCGGCTGCATGCCCTGAATGCTGTTCAGCCCGGCATGCTGTTCAGGCAGGGATAGTGCTCTCCTGGGGGTTGGAGTGGGCGAGGAGAGAGGGGGGCAGAAAACAGAGGGAGCCAGAGGAGGGAGAGGGCAGGCTACTGAGGGTGACCCCCAGGGAGGGTCCAAGGGGAGCGTCCACACAGAGACTCTCCCAGGGCCCTCCTCAGCCACTGTGAGAAGTAGCTGCATGCAGTAGGTGCTCAGTACGGAATGGATAGATGCCTAAGCCCCTGGAGGGGGGTTTGAGGAGGCAGGTGCCACCAGTTCCTCTTCCTCAAGTTCACAAGTCTGTTGAAGGGGTCCTTGGGGGCAGGACCACAGCCCTGCGGAGCTCGACTGTGCTGCCCCAGCCCCATGCACACACTGTGCTCCCTGCTGGCCCATGGGGGCTCTGGTGGCCCCTCTGCTCCAGATGCTGGCCTGCCAGTGCCCATTGTCCAGGATGGCACCCGAGCAGTGGCCTCCAGCGGCTGGACGCAGAGTCGCCCCCGGCTCCCAGAGCAGACACAGACGCGCAGGCGGGGGTGCTAGGCAGGGCCCGGGATCGGCATTCCTCCCACGCGGGGAAACGGAGATCCCCAGTTTGGGCAGCGTACCAGGCCAAAGGCTGGGAGTCCCTCCGCTCGGAGTTGACCATGTCTCTCCCGCTCAGGGGCTCCATGAGTGTTGCTCCGCAGAGTTGACTGGCTCTAATTGTGCCCAGCTTGGGGCGCAGGAGGCCTCGCCCTGGTGGGGCTCCCAGCCCAGCGGGCAGACTGAGCTGGACCTGCCAGCCCCGCACAGCCCCCTGCCCTTTCCCCTCCACTCACCACCCCGCTCCTTTCCAAAGCACTGGTCTGGGTGCTGTGCATATTCATGTGCGTGAGTGTGCACGCATGTTATGGTGCACCCGGGGAGGCATGTATCACACCTATGTGCATGCGTGGCACATACATGTGCATGTGTACCCGCACAAGCCCTTTCATGACCAGACAGGGACTAGAGAGACCCTGCCCGCACCCCTAAGAAGGGGGAATAGGAGGAAAGATGCTCAACAGAGAAGCCAGCCCAGGACAGAGATGGGGCCAGGAGTCACCTGCTGGCAGGGTCCCACCTGCGGACCACACACCCGCACTCGGCCCTCCCTGCCCAGGACACAGAGTCCTGCCCGGCATCCCGTGGGCGAGTGGGGAGCTCCCCCAGTGTTTCTTCTGGTCTGAGAGGTTAGGTCATCTGACATCACTGCTCCAGTTCGGGGAGTTCCCAGACAGCTACCACCCACAGGCAGCCTCTCCACATGCTCG